AACGTGTCTCTTGCATGCCACCTCGGGTTTCAGCTGTGACCTTAATTTGCTGAGATGCCCCGGTACAGTCTTCGACGAAGACTTGATCCCTCTCTACAGTCTGGCCGTCCACTGTCATGGTTCGCGCTATCGGCTTGTGAACCTTGGGCTTCTCCGGAGAGTAGGCAGTGTGGTGAAGTATCCAGGGATGGATGATCACTTGATCAAGAGGCAAACGCAGCTCTGCATCTCTCCACATCAGCTGCGAAGAAGCAAAAGTAACCCATTATTGAGAGTTAATTCATAGAATTGCCAACAGTTCTTATTGAACGCAGAACCTTATTCATAGCGAGAAGCATGAAAAGTGTTATTATCAGCCCAAACAATGAACAGCAGGTTACTACAGTCGATAACAAAGTAACAACTCGCGCACTTCAAAACATGTAAACACAAAAACACCATTCGACGTCATATACTGTACTTCCAAAAAAGCCTGGGTAAGCTTTTGACACGCCAAAAATATTACCTACTCAAAAATACGTGGCTTTAGTGTGATTTCTTGCGCTTAATTTTAGAAAATAAGAGCCATTCACCAAAAATGAGTCTCAACTAAGCAGGGACGGAATCTTACAGAATTATGTTTGACTACCCTGATTCAAATTTCAATGCAGCACTCGTGCAATCAAAAGTCCTACAGAAAATAAAAGCTTAGTTTATTAATAATCCAAGCAAAGTTATTTCAAGCATACTTAATTATAGTTGAAGACGTCATTTTTCATTCTGAAAATCTGACCAAAAATCATCACTGCTACCAGCAGACCTTTTTATTCGAAAAGAGAAAACCCTAGCACTAAATTATATAACACAAGCAAATTTCAAGTAATTTTTCCAAATTTTTCCACAAAAACCAAAAAAATTGCATCAAAAAAGTTTGTTATAACGGAATTTCCAAGTTTGTTATAACAAGATTTTTTTAACATGTAGTCTATAGGATTTCTGCCAGGACTTGAAAAAAAGTTTGTTGTATCGAAAAATTTGTTGTAATGGTATTTGTTGTAACGAGATTTTACTGTACTTACAAAACAACCTGGGTAAGCTTTTGACACGCTAAAAATAATACGTGATCATAAATAAGTGGCCTAATGTAATTTCTTGCGCTAAAATTTCTGAAAATAAGAGCCGTGCACCAAAAATGAGTCTGAACTCAGCAGGGAAATCATTCAGAATTATGTTCGATACAAACCCTGATACAAATTTCAATGCAGCACTCGTGCAATCAGAAGTCCTACAGAGAATAAAAGCTTAGTTTATTAATAATCCAAGCCTTCAATAAAGTTCGTATGAATTAATATCAACTTCTGCAGTAAAAAGTAAGACTTTTAGACTGGTTTTTAGTAGTGACGATGGTCGTCTGGAAAAATAAGCTTTTCTCTTTTGGGATCGTGATTTAATATTTTGCGGTGATATTTAGTGTAGTTCGTGTGATTTTTATTTGAAAGGCATCAGGGATGCCGGTTTTGTGGATCCTTTTGTCCCTGGACATTCTGTGATAATCTACTGGATACTTGATGCTGGAATCAGTGCTGAGAGAAAGTCTCAAATGGAGGCGCATAGTTTATGCAAGGAATCGCTCGAAATTCAAGAACTTTCAGGAATAAAAAGAAAAGGAAAAAACCTTTTTGATCAAGTCGTCAGCCAGGCGACTTGAGCAGCGGTGACTTTCATAGGCCAAGTTGATGACGTTCTGTCCCACTCCGGGATAGACAGAAATGTGATCCCTGGTGTCAGAACTTTGTTGGGGGGCAAATGGACAATCCCCAGTGAGCATGTCGTAAATGAGACACCCGAGTTGCCAGTGGTCAGCGAGTCGCGAAACCGGCAAGTCCAGAAAAAATTCGGGGGCTTCAAATGCCGGCGTTGTCCTGGGCTCAGATTTTCTGGAAATCATGATTCAAGGTTATTCCAGTAAATCTGCTTGCATATTACAGCAATTCCGCAAAAATGACATTTGATTTTTTCTTATCCCCCAACCCCCATCAGAAATAAGACAATTTCACTCACAACCGCAAGTACGGTACATATAGAAAATTCGGGATAATTTTTAATTTTCAAAATTGAAAGAAAATCAATGTCTGCCAGAAATAAAATTCTAGAAAATGATCCTCGGCATTTTCAGAATAATTTCAGCTGAAGCCCGATATATCAGCCAATCCAAATCGAAAACGGAATTGACACTCCAAATATTTCATTTGTTCCAAATAATTCATGAAGATTGAATCTCCTGTCATCATATAATTTTATCAAACGGAGAATATTTTTTCAGGGGATCTCCTTGGACAAACAAGAAAAAAGAAAACTGATTCGTAACACGGAGAATATTGCTAGCATTAAATTTCATTGTCCAATGCGTTCAAATATCTCGACTACGGTATACAGTATTATTATATCACTATGCATTTATGGGGAGTTTAACTTAACTTTAAAAGTATCAGGTAGCAAATGTATCTCAATGACTGCCGTGCAGAAATTTATTCTTCTTGAAAGTAAATTATTTTTGGTCCTGGCAAGCCTCAGCAACATCATGAGAAAACCTTAAAATATAAACGTGTCTGAAAATTGAGCTATCATTTCATGAATAGGTAAAATCTTCAGGGAACGGTACTGAGATTTTAAAAAATCGCAACATTATCCTTACACTGGTCCAACGGTGTATACAGCAAATGCAAAATCAGCCAACTTCGCAGTGAGGTCCTTTGTAATCAAAATAGATTGTGGTCTCAAATCCCGCAGCATCAAGTTGAAATCGTGCAAATAGAGCAAAGCACTCGTAACATCCAATGTCAGCTTTGCTGCTCTAAAAAAGGCTTCCTTACATATAAGTTGCATTCGCATGAAAATTGACGCTTCAAAAAAAAATACTTACAGGGGTTCTTCTAGTCGACAGCCCGGCTGGGTTCGTTGGTACTGCTCCAAAGTACCATGCTCACAATACTCAAACACAATGTAAATTCTGGCCTCGTCCGAGAAGAAGCCTAAAAGCTTCAAGATGTTCGGATGACTGGCATTGAAGATGTTTTGAAAACAAAATAATATCAGGCAAAGAGCCTTCAATAATGATCATCAACTCACTCAAAATAGCCTTGCATTTCAACTTCCTTACGCAACAAGTACAAAACTTGTTCTTCCATCAGTTTATCCTTGTAAGCCGCTTTGAACGTCACCAGGTCTCGAGTGCGATAATCTCGGGCAAGGTAAACTGTTCCGAATTCACCCTTCATCAAGACCCTACCAATGTCGAAATCTCCCAGGGAATATTGGCTGAAAATAAATTGATCAAAAATTGAGTACTGTATCTCCAAAAATATAAACACTGAAAAGTTATCCTGTCAAAAGCAGGACTTCAAAAGGAATTCGGATTACACATTGAGGTTCTTTTTTTTTCAATTCTACAATCGATCAGCTAAAATTAATGTGAAATGAGAGGTTGAAGTAACTGCTCAAAGACAGCAGTACAGTATACTTGAGAGAAAAAGAGATTAAATATATATGAACTCACTTAAAGAAATACTGTACATACTTTTCTATGTTCTGCTTTGCGGATGGCTGACAAAAGCACTTTTAATACTGTGTTTGACCGTTTTTTGGAACATATCATTTATAAGAAACACAAACAAAGCACAACCCTTGCTTTAATGTTTCAAAGCAGTCAGAAACTCAGATTTTTAGCTCGACAGACTTTAAAAAATAATGAATAATATGATTAAAGGCCGGTTTGTACTTCGTTATTACGTATATATTTGGCTGTCGTAAATAGTACAGCGTGTATTTAATGCACAAAAACTAATTAATTTCGGTGCTTTTAGTATATTTGAAGCTCAAAAGAAGGGAAAGATGGGGTTGATCCATTTTGAGAGAACTTCATTGGGTTTCTGCACTGATTTCAACAATGACAAAAGGAGCTAATTTATTTTGTGTGTGCATTAATGAGCTTCCAAAAATTGACCTAATCTCACCAGTCACCACGCACCTGACCTATGCCATCTAAGATTCAGAATTTACGATAGGTTTTCATTCTTCTCAGAGATGTCGCCATCAAGGTGCAAGTCCCGCACAAAGCAAACTCTTCTGACTAGAACCCTGATCAAATTCGTGTTCTACATTTTGCGGTACAGTACTTAATTGCAATTAACAAGAATCTTCTGGAAATGATTTTATATTACCGGAAGAAATATGGTCGCGCAGACCAAGGCCAAGAAGCTTTATCTGGACCACAGTAGGCACCCTTGCGACCCGGATATGGAGGTTCGTCATCTTCTGGTGGAGGTGGGCCAGCCTGGCCACCTTGCAACCCATCTGAACAAACCAAATAGGGTTGAAAATCATTGATTTTTAATTTTTTTTAAATCGTGCATCATTTAGCAGGTACATACCACAAGGACGGCACACCTTGGTGGATGCTGGCTTCGGACATGCCATTCTGTCTAGCGCAGGAGATTAACAGAACAAGTCAAGAGAATTGATGATTAACACATTAATGCCACATCCTCGTGTATACGTCCTCCTACAAAATTTCTTATTCTCTTACGGGGGCATTGGTTGGTAATCCGTTTTTAGCGGAACAGCTTTCAACAGCTTTCGCTGACCAGGTTTAACACTCTTGAAAAGAAAATGTGCTGCCTGTTCGATCGTCTGCTAAGATGTCTTGTCACCCTTGCTGCTATTCTTGGCTTGGTATGAATTCTAGGGATTTCTATGGGAACTTCATTGCCAATACAGTTGAACCTCAATAACTCCACGTCGAATACCTCCCAAATTCAAATTTTTTCAAGTCCCATCTGAATTCCCCTTGGAAGCAATAAATTAAGAACCTCTGTAACTGGATCTGGATGGCTTTTCCTCTTAAAACTCCCGAACTCAAATTTTCTGAGGCCTTTTGGCTTTTGACGTACGAAAGATAAAAACAATGAAAATTGAATTTGATGTGTTTTGAAAGGAAGTGAAAGATACAATTTAACTGATGCCTCCAAGTTCAGCATCCTGTCGACTTGTGTAAGAAGCAATATCCCCATTTACAATTTCCTGCAATTCTTTTAATGTTTTCTGCAACACAACTTGCTCTATCTGTGTACGTAGCTCAAACCTCACTGCTCAAAACCTCCTTAAGAAATTTTTTTTGCTCGTGCTTGAAATTCGACTTTGAGAGGTTTGGTCTGTGCAAGGAAAAACACTTGTATGCATCTTATGAATTTCCAGGTATATGTCGGAATAAATCTGTACGCTCTGTGGATGAAGCAACCGGACCGTTTCCGCGAAGCAGGTTTGATTTTCTTGCCCTGTGTATGTGATGTTGTGGGATTTTGATTCACTTAACGGGGAATTGTTCTCTTGAACAAGATAGCGTTGCAAGGGATTTACAATGATCCTGCAGGACATGCTACATTGCTTTACGGGGCAACGTGCGCCGTGATCTTCATCTCGTGTATCTTTGTAAGTTGAAACCGAGATTGTGCTTGTATTTTTGATGCATTTCCCTTCTTCTATCTTCCTGCCGATTATCAGAGTTTCTATAGAAAGTTAGAAGCGGATCTTGAAGTTGCTCTGCTTATAGTAATTGTCATACATTTTATTTGAGGAAATAACTCGCAGGGGAATTTTAAATTTGAGCTCCAGTGCGTAAGATTTTGGCATGAACATGCGTTCAATTTAAAACTGGAACAAAGTCCTGAACGAGAAACGAGACTGCGAATTTCTCGTTTGCTTCGCAGTTGCCTTAGTTTTGTTTTCGATTGCGAGAGCTGCAAAAGGAAGCACGTTCTTGTGATTATAATTGCGGCACCTTCAAATGAATGCCGATACTTCAGTTTGAAAATATTTATTTTCAGTATTTTGAAAATATTAGTGTCCTGAGTTTCCAGAAAAAAAATCAAAACTACGATATGCGTCTGAAACCGGGCGCATAACGTATCATAATTTCCCTAAAAAATCAGCTAGCTAATGCGGATTTGTCCGCCCCTGAATGAAAATAACTAGAAATCGTATTTTGAAGGTGTTGAAAATTTTGCCAGTGAGAAAGATTGGGATGTGCCAGTTTGCGGCTGATCAGTGGCAAAATTAGTTCGTATGTTAGAGAGTGAATGGAAGAAAGTAAACTTTATTTTATAATTATTTTTGTTAAAGATAAATTTATCTGTCCTCAACATTGAGCTTCAGTTACGGAGTTATTAAATAGGTGGACTTTCATTACAACGAAATTTAGAAGATCAGAATAAAAATCGTTGTAGAGAGCTGCTATAATATGGATACAGGCCCCTAGCTATGAGACCCTGAAAAAGTTCGTCATACCGTCAAATCTTTGCATAGGGAGAGTCTATCTTTACGTAGTACTTCTTTTAAGAATTATGCCTGAAAGTGACGTGTAAAGTATTTAATAACCAGCAGATATAATTTTCGACCACCACACTTCTTCCTTGTTAATGAATTCTCCCACAGTTTCCGGCTAATGAAGATTATGATCCTGAGCTTTAAGCACTTTTAAAGATAAAATCTTAATTTTTCAACAGCCCACGTCTGCAGGGCTGAAATAAAACGTAAGATGAAAAAAAAATTAGCAGCACGCGGTCGAGGATGAATGGAGTAAAAATGGAGTAAAAAACCCCTTTAAAATTGCGGATGAATGTGTACTTCAAAGCGTGTATGGGTACTGTAATGCATCGATAATTGAGTGATCAGCTTTGCATATATAGAGGGTTGCTGTCTTTCATTACTGGTGGTTGCATCGTAGGGGGCAGCTTCTATCAAAAATGGATTTGTGCTAGTCAATGAAAAAATTAAAAAAAATAAATGAAGAGGTTTTCTCCCAATTGAACGCGTACGTGAGGTTATTCTGAAAATTTTCCAGGGCTGGTGGGTTTTCTACCTACCTTTCATCGCCACGACAGCAGTCGTGGTCACGTTCCTGGTCATGTCCAGAAAGTTCCTCCTCCGCGACCAGAAACCCGAGTCCCTGAAGGTCATCACGATCACAGCCATTGTGTCCCTTGTTGCTTCCGTGGCCCTGTTCATCATCCTCTGCTTTTGCGAGGTGTTCACTCCGTCGCAATCCCGACAACCCTTCCGGTCCCAAGCAGGTGCATCGCCCATGACGCGTATCATGCGTAGAAACGAGGACCCAACCGGGGCATTTGTGACTGCTGGACCCGGTGGGGATGACTGTGGCCACGGGTTGCAAGACTGTCGGATCCAGGGTGGACACACGAACTTTGCCAGGCGACACAAGATCGTTGGGAGTTGGGGCATGCCGGCCTGGATGCTGCCGCCCATCATGGTGGTGAATCACCGGAGCAGCGGCCTGTTTTCTCCATCGGTGCCCTCGGAAGATCCCCTCCCTGCATGATTAACTTTACTATATACTGTATCATTAATAAAGTGCATACCATTTTTTTTGTTGGAATATATTTTTTCATAATTGATTTGATTAAATGTGGACTTCTTTCTGGTACAGGTGGTGCTCTGCAATTTGAACCCAATCAGTTGCTGAACTACGTTCAAATTGTGAAACAGTAAAATTGTAAGACAATGTTAAATGCGATGTTTTATGCATTTTATTTTGACATTTTGCATCTCTCTGTGGGTCAAATTTCAGGACGACAGAGGTTGAATTGCAAGTCAACCTCCCAGCACATTTGTCCATAAAATTTCAGGCTGGACAATTCTGATGTGGTCAAATTGCATGGTACCACCTGTATTAATACTGCGCTGTTGAACCTTTTTTGGTCAACATTTTCCAATTATTTCCTTCA